GCCGGCGGCTGACTTGGGGAAGTCTGGGGCAGAGCAGCTGGGATGCTGCCAGGTTGGTCCCGCAGTGCTGAGGGGCGCATCCCCCCCACTCCACCCCAGACCCCTCATAGCCCCCCCTTCTGATGGTCCATCATATTTGATAATCCTGCACCCCCTGGGTCCTAAAGGTGCCGGATTATCGGAAGTTTACTGTATAAATGGCTGTATGTGTTGATTTCACAGCATCTTCTGACAAGCTGACTAGCAGCTGATGAATCCTGAAGTTCTACCTTGGTTACATTTAAATTGCACTGGAAGACTTACCCAGTGTTGCCCAGGCCTGCCGAGGAACTGGGGGCAAGGTGGGGAAGAATATGCAGGCCTCCTGCTAGCGCCCTCTGGGCCCAGCCTGGGGCTGGAAGAAGGGTGCCCAGGGCAAGACCGGGGTTCCACAGGCTTCCCACTGGCATTCCCCAGCCTCCCCAGCCCTCTCCCGCCAGCTGCAACCAAGCTGGGTGGCCTAGCACTGCTGATGGTGGGGGGTGTCTGCACATGGTCCTGGGGGGAGGACCAAGGCTCCCCTGCCCAGGTCCAGGGGAAGGCCATAGCAGTGGGACTGGCAGGGCTTTCCCTCCAACATCGTGAGTCTCATCCCAAGCTGGCCATTCCCTCCGTGGTGCAGCTGTCCCCAGAAGTCACTGCACTATAGCGGTCCCCTGCACTCGCTGCCCCCAGTGGTGTACTGTGAGTACCGTGTCCCTCCTCTCTCTGCCCCCTCCCTTTCCATCTTATGAAAAACAAACAAACAATCTAATTCCAGGCACATTCCATTTTCCTGGCACAACCAAGCCTGAACCTTGCTTAAGTTAGGATAAGAGGAAGTGTTATAGCTCTTTTTCACACAGAGAGAAGTGGAGTCATGACAGCAAGTCATTCACAGAATCAGGACTACTGCTTAGCTCTCCAGACTTTCAGGCCTTAATTAAACGAATTAATTGTGCCTTTTCCTTGGTAGACTAATACTTCCTCACATAAGCCTCACTGAGAGACTCTACCGTACATGTACCAGAATGAGGTAGAGCATAGAAAATTATAATACACTGACTTTGTTAGATACATAAGTGAATGAAAAACTGAAATAATACCAGGAATAAGAAAATATACCATTAACATTAAATTGCTCTTTTTTTACTTTGAAATGCTTCAGCACAAAATACCTAATCATAACATGATAACAGAATCATAATCATAACATGAGGCAGCCTGGTGATGTAAGAGCAAGAATACTTACAAGCTGTCCATAACGTACAGTTGCAAGTGCCTTTGAGGGGAAGTTTCCACTGCTACTGAAGCATAATCCTCCTGTCTGAAAAGATAAAATTAAAAAACAGAAATTCCAGTTAAAAATCTATACACATAAGACACGACAAAATAATGTTGCTCCTTTATATTTCAATATAAGCTGTTTGTTTCACTTACCAAAGTATTTGGGTCTGAACAATCACAAGACTTGCTTATATTGATGAATGTTTGTTCACATCTTACACACCTATAAATCACACAAATATAAACATGAAGAAAACACTTAAAATAGAGTTAACTATAAATCTTTATAAGGGGAAGTATACTGTTAGCAAGGTACTCTCTTTACAAGTTATCAGAATAACTTTGTTCAGTGCTAGAAATGTAGCCGTGTTAGTCTGGTGTAGCTGAAGCAAAATACAGGACTATGTAGCACTTTAAAGACTAACAAGATGGTTTATTAGATGATGAGCTTTCGTGGGCCAGACCCACTTCCTCAGATCAAATAGTGGAAGAAAATAGTCACAACCATATATACCAAAGGATACAATTAAAACAAAGGAACACATATGAAAAGGACAAATCAAATTTCAGAACAGAAAGGGATGCGGGATGGGGGAGGAAGGGAAGGAAGGTAAATGTCTGTGAGCTAATGATATTAGAGGTGATAATTGGGGAAGCTATCTTTGTAATGGGTAAGGTAGTTGGGGTCTTTGTTCAGCCCCCTGCGGAGAGTGTCGAATTTTAGCATGAATGCCAGTTCAGAGGATTCCCTTTCAAGTGCAGATGTAAAAGGTCTTTGTAGCAGAATGCAGGTGGTTAAGTCATTGAGAGAGTGTCCTTTCTGGTTAAAATGGCAAGAAACTGTTTTTTCTTTGTGATCTTGTCTGATATCTGTTTTGTGGGCATTAATCCTTTGGCGAAGTGTCTGAGATGTTTGTCCAATGTACATAGCAGACGGACACTTTCGGCACACGATAGCATAGATTATATTTCTGGATGCGCAGGAATATGTGTGCTTGATCTTATAACTCACTTGGTTAGGTCCAATAATGGTATCAGCAGAATGAATATGTGGACAAAGCTGGCAACGGGGTTTGTTGCAAGGGAAGGTACCAGGGTTGGTATTAGTGTGGTATGTCCTGTGGTTGTTGGTAAGAATCATCTTGAGGTTAGGTGGTTGTCTATAGGAGACTATGGGTCTGTCTCCCAGAGCCTCTTTGAGTATGGTATCCTGTTCCAATATAGGCTGTAGTTTATTGATAATGTGTTGGACAGGTTTAAGTTGGGGGTTGTAGGTGATGACAAGTGGTGTTCTATTGTTGGTTTTCTTGGGTCTGTCTTGAAGTAGATGGTTTCTAGGTATTCGTCTGGCTCTTTCAATTTGCTTTTTTGTTTCTCTGGGTGGGTAGTTGAGATTTATAAATGCTTGGTAGAGATCCTGAAGCTTCTGGTCTCTGTCAGTGGGGTTAGAGCAGATGCGGTTGTATCGAAGGGCTTGGCTATAGACGATGGATCGTGTGGTGTGTTCTGGATGGGAGCTGGATGCATGTAGGTAACTGTATGAGTCAGTGGGTTTTCTGTAGAGAGTGGTGTCTAATTTTCCATTGTTGATTTGTACGGTGGTGTCCAGGAAGTGGATCTCTCGTGTAGAATGGTCCAGGCTGAGGTTGATGGTGGGGTGTAGGTTGTTGAAATCTCTGTGGAATATCTCCAGTGTTTCTTGGCCATGTGTCCAGATCATAAAGATGTCATCGATGTACCGTAGGTAGAGGAGGGGTGAAAGGGGACGGGAGTTGAGGAAACGTTGTTCTAGGTCAGCCATAAAGATGTTAGCATACTGTGGGGCCATGCGTGTACCCATGGCTGTGGGAAGCTATCTTTGTAATGGGTAAGATAACTAGAGTCTTTGTTGAGACCCCTGCGTAAAGTGTCGAATTTTAGCATGAACAACAGTTCAGAGGATTCCCTTTCAAGCGCAGTTTTAAAAGGCCTTTGAAGCAGGATGCAGGTAATTAAGTCATTGAGACAATGTCCTTTCTGGTTGAAACGGCAAGAAACTGTTTTTTCTTTGTGAGCACAAACGAGTGGCCAGCAGGGTTGCCTACTAGTACACGGGTAAGGAGCCCCATGCCCCAAATTGGAGTCTTATCCCACTCTGTGAAGAACCTGAAGGCAATGGCGGAGGTGGGGCCACTGGGAGGGGGGGACACCCCCAGGGCCCGCCACCCCAACAGCCTGCAGACCACTGGCTGGGCAGAAGAGGGGCTGTTGGCAGGGAGGGAGTTAGAGAGGGAAAGCCCCCAGAGCTTGGCCCCTCCCCAGACAGCCTGCAAACGGCAGGTGGGGGGGGCACCGGGGGGGGGGGGGG